ACACACACACACACACACACACACACACACACACACACTGCTCAGCAAGAGGTTGGACTGGGGAGTGCTCCAGATGTGAAGTTTCTCCAACTGAGGTCACCTTGAGGTTTAAGATAAAAGGCTCTGTGGCAGGAGGCCCACTGGTTATGATTTCACCTGAGATGGCTCAGAGATGGGCTTTGCCATGTCACGTGAACCCTGACAGAGATTACCAACTCTTTGTTGCTGGCTAAGAAGGACAACCCCGGCCATGCTGTGTTCCTTGCAAGGGTTATGTTCCTCCACCTCCTAGGTAAAAAAGGCAGAGAGGTGGAGAGTAACCTGGCAAGCTATCCAGGAGGCTGGGCTCTGCTTGAGTTCTGGAAACCATCTCCCTGCCTCCAAGGGTCCCTCTACTGACAAGGCTGGTACCCTGCACTGGGGTCTGGCAGGGAAGGTCTCTTTGTTCACCCACTGTCCCTGACACCGTTCCACACCCTGATGCCCACCTCAAACCCAAGGGTGCCTGAAGCCCACCCAGGCCCTGCTCCCACCCCGTGTTGTCCACCCCTCAACCCAGCCAGCAACCAGCAGCACCGAACCCCATGTTGTACACGCCTCAGCTTAACCAGTACTTACACCCACCTGCTTAGATCACAATCCCACACCATCCCTGAGGCCTGTGGGTGCACACCTAGGCAAGCAGTGGGGCCCAGCCTGTAGTAGAGCCAGCAGCAGGAGACCACCGGCACCATCAGACCCAGAAGAGCCCTTCAGGAGAGGGTGAAACTCCCCCACAAACCCAGGGTCTTGGCCATGTAGATACCCAGATTCCATAATCAGGCCAGAACAGTGGAGTCTGGTAGCCTGGGTCCCCACCAAAGAAGTCTCAGTTATGCCTAAAGTTTAAGTGCCCAAGAGCTGGGCCAGGGAAGATAGGGTAGAGCCTTCGGGTTGCCACTGGGCTTAAGCCAACCCCTCCTGACCACCCCACTATACCTCCACCTCACAGTCCAGCTGCTGCCTCTGTACCCACCACACTCAGGGAAGTGGGAAGGACTTTGGAGCCCTTCCCAGCCCTGACCAGAGTGGAGTTCAGGCACCTTTTCCCAGATAGCACCAGGGGAGACTGGGCTCTGTGCCAGTGAGGGGCATGATGGGGGGGTGTCTCAGCCCCATTAGGACACCAAGGCCCTACTTCTGCCTCTTGGCTTCCTGTCCTGCTCCAAGGTCCTGCTCCAGGGCCTAGCTCAGCCAAACACAAGCAGGAACAGCCCAGGCAGTGGGTGCCCGGCATCTCCAACCCAGAAGGAACCTGAAAAAAGCACAGAGCCAGGTTCCTTCAACTCTGGTTTTATTGAAAAACAGCAGCATTGGGGGCCATTCAGACAGGCGCACACCCACTTGGGCCCCCAGCCTGTCTTCTTGGAAACTTGGCTTGTCACCTGGCCCTAGGGGCTATTTTGGCACATCCTGGGGTCTTGGGACACCCCCACCCCATCAAGGGCTCACAGTACAGCTTCAGGAACAAACTACAGCACTGAGACCTACCACGGTGTTATGCCCCCCACACCCTTACCAAGTCCTGCCCAAGGGGCCTCCAGGTCCCCTGCCCAGCCCTCAGATGAGGAGAGATGGGGGGCAGCTCAGCTGGCCTGTGTCTCCCAGAACACAGACTTCCCACTGCTGCACATGTGCACATACAAACACACGTGCACACCTGTGCACACAAGCCCACACCCATACAAATAGGAAGCTGCCCACACATACATATGCAACACATGTAATTTCTTGTGCACATACAGTCACGTGCTCACATGATCACAAACAGCATGTGTTCCTGCACACAGATACATACACATTCACTGAAAGTTTGTTCACATATGTACTCACCCAGATGCTCACACATGCACACACATACTCTCATATGCACATGCTCACACATGTGCACATACACAGACTACAGACAGGCATGTACACATATGCAGGTATGCCCCTTCCCTTAAAATGGCTAATTATTGCTGTTTAAAAAAAAACACATCCAACAATGGTAAGTTGAGGCTTGTCCTCCCCCAGGCCCAGGCCAGCTCTGCCCACCTTCCATGGCCACCACCTCTGCTGGAAGCACAGTGAAAACAGCACGGAAGGGTAGTACATGCAGCCTTCCCCACACCCCACCTAGCACGGAAGGGTAGTACATGCAGCCTTCCCCACACCCCACCTACACTAGTCCCCAAGTATGGCCAAGAGCCAGGGCAGGACCATGGTTCAAGGCCAGAACTGACCAGGAAAGTCAGCAGGTAACAAGAGGACCCAGCAGCAGTGCTCACCACAGACGGAGACACGGTAATTTCAGGTGCACTGTCAGGCTGCTCCTTGGGCACTGGCAGGAAGGTAGCTTCCTGGGTGCTGCACAGCTCTTCTTACCCAGCTGGGAAGTCATTCCCAGCCCCCTACGAAGTCCCAGGCACCAGCAAGAAAGACCCAGAAACTCTGTCCTCAGGCCTCTAGTCACAGGCACAGCCCTGGAAGCCAGCTCCAGGAAGGTGTGAGTGTGAAGCCACCTGGGGCTGTCAGAAGCAGGTAGGGTGGGCAGCATACTTTCTAGCAGCAAATAAGGCCCCTGTGGCCAAGATTTCCAGGTACCAGGCCAAGAGCTTCATGAAGCTCACCTCAGGGGTGTCCCCAACTCTGCCCTCTCTGGCCTATGTTCTCCTGTCTCTGTCTCTGAGAAAGGGTGCCAGGGTAGGATGGGGGCTGCCCAGGCCCCCAAGACCTCCAGCCTGCTGTCCACAGGGCCTCCCAGCCACAGCCCTCTCCCAGAACTAGCCATCTATCTCCTTGGCCAGGTTGGCCCATCCCTCAGCTGTTGCCCACCCCAAGGCAGAGCCAGAGAGAAGCAGGTCTGGGGGAGAGGCTGCTGTGGCCACCAGGGCTTGTTCTCCCTACACCACTACACCCTGTGCCCTTCGTGGGGCTGGAACACATGTAGTCCCAGAGCATGCAGGCTAGCCTCCTGGCCACACACATTCAGGGACTAGGCATTTCCAGAGACATATGCCTGGGCATTGCTAGCTGCCAGCAGGACACCAGGTCTAAGCTGCAGGCTCATCTAATGAGGACATTCTAGAATACTCCACTTCCTTCTACCCTCTGCACTCTAAAAACAGACGCTTCCAAGCAAACAATAGGACTCCTGGAAGCCCAGGACCCTGAGCACAGGGCCAGGCCCCTCCAAGGCTGGCCTTCTCTGGGCCTCCCTATGCCCCAAAGTACAGGTGCTGGCCACCCAGGTGGTTGGAGACCTGAAGAAGAGTGTGTTGGCCAGCGCTCAGAGCTGTACCAGACACATGGCCACCAGGTGGAGGGAGCAGGGAGGAGGGCCTCCACAGAGGTAGAAGAAATGTCAGAATCTCTACAAACATATAAAACTCATGTCAGTGCACACATGTACAGCACTCAGAGCTTTGGCTGGCACGATGTAGCAGGCAGGGCCAGGCTCAATTACCAGCACGCCCAGCTTCCAGCCCAGGCACACCCATCTGCTCCTGGGCCTCTGAGAACCAAGCCATGCACCGCCCTGATGAGGCTCCATTCTAGCACAGTTGGAACCTATCCCACCATCCACTCCTGGTATCTCTACCAAGTCTTGGTTAAGAGCCTACCAAATTTCCCTTCACGCATGGGCTGTGCAGCAGGAAGAGAGCCTCCTCAGGCAGACAGGTGCTGGCAAGTCCAAAGGGCCAGACCCCACCCCAGGCCCTAGAATGAGCTTTCCCTGGGTCGGCACCAGGGAGACACAAATGGCTGCAGGCTCCCTCAGCTCTGCCCTGGCCCAGGTGACCCCAATGCCCTGCCACACCTCCCAACCCCAAAGACCGCAGGTTCCAAAGGCACAGGATCAGAGAAACCCCAACATCTGGAAGTACCCACCCAACCAAACCTGGCTCCCACACGAGCCCACCCAGGCATCAGACCCACCAGCAGCCCCTACACCCCACAGTAACTAAGACTAGCCCCAAGCCGAGACCAGTCCAAACAGAAAGAGGAAAAAGGCACAACTGTTTGTTTTCCATTTTGCTAAAACACTTTACGTCTGTCTGTATAATCCAGATTAACAAAATCTGAGAGCTGCAAGAAAATAGGGTGCCAATTTCTGTACAGTCTACAAAACTCCCATCCCCGAGCGGGGACCGGGTGCCACCAGGGAGGAATGTACAGGGGAGAGCGGGGTCTGTACAGTGTTCTGCAAATGCCTCAATTGCTAACAAGACAAAAGGACCCTCAGGAAGCTGGTCTTGTTCCACCAATTCATTCATTCTAAAGCACCATTCTAAGAATGCGGCCTTGGTGCCAGGGGCCCAGCTCTGTGGCCTGCCCTGCCTGCCACTCCTCATCCCAAGCCCACATAGAGGGGTCTAGGTGGGTCTTCATTCCCCTCCTGCACCAAAGCCTGGTCCAGGCTCAGCTGGCCACATGGAGCCTACCAACCACTGCCTTCCTCTCTGTCCCAGGCCACACACTACCCCACCCCCATCCAGGTCAGACCCTTAGTAGGACCTCAAGAAGGAGAGGCCAGGTGCACGGCTGGCAGAGCCAAGTAGGCCTGGTTAGAGTGGCTGGACCTACCCTAACCACCAGCTCCTGCTCCCAAGGCAGTGCCCAGCTCCTCTCTGAGGCTTTGAGGCTCTTCAGTACCCTCAATCCTACACACAGGGAATCAAGGAGCAGCCTGGGGCTTTGAAAACCAGGAATGCACTGGGAGGAGGCGGTTTATGCTAAACTAGGGTCTCCTTCCGTACTTCAAACTTAAATCTGTCACCCACCCGGCCACCCACCCCCATCAAACGGGGCCAGCGAGTATGTCTGCTAGCACCACACTGATGTGTGTCTGAGGGCTCAAACTACCATTTTGTCCCCGGAGTTAAAGTCATGCGGAGTGCTATTCTGTCTAAGTAACTTATTAGAACATGGGTTGGTTCAGGCTGGGAGAAGCTGTGGCAGGCATTGCCAACAACAGCCTGGGCTAATAAGATTTACAAGGCAGACCCGACAAACAGCGTGAGGCAACGGGACCTCTGGTGTCTGGGAGGGGGCCACCTGACCAAACAGGCGCTGAGGGAAGTCCCCACCCCATTAAGCCCCACCACGATGTGCAGTGGATTGCTACAGGAACCACACCCGGGTGACCAGCCAAGTCAGCCAGGCTGGAACAAGGGAGGCATGGAGATCAAAGGGGAGAAAGATGAGGTGATGTCAAAGCAGGAGAATATGGAGCCAGGTGAGGGTAGTCCAGGCTCCACCATAGAGCAGAGAAGGTGAGGCAGGCAGGCCCTCCAGAGGCCACCTCCGGCCAGGACAGGGGAGCTCACCAGCTTGGTCCTAGGGTCCAGGCTGGGCAGGGCAACAGGGCAGGGGGCTGTGGCATGCGGCATGCTGCAGCCAGGCCATGTCCTCAACATGCACAGAGCAAAGCAGGGCCTGGGGCCAGCTCGACCTCCCATGGGGCAGCGGCTGGCCAGCCCAGCAGGCCACACTTCCAGAGACCAATGGCTGAGCCTTAGCCTGGCTGAAGGCTGAGGGTCTGCTCCTTGGGGGTGGGGCCTTTGTTGCAGAGGTTCTGTGCTTGGTGGGCAAGGCTAGGCCTTCCCTGATGGAGGCAGGCTGGGCAGCTTTGTGAATAGTCCAGGTGGTCCACAATGCCACTCTTCAAGGCATGGCGAGCCACTCTGATGGGCTGGGGAGGGCAAGGGCTGAGGCTGCAGACAATCCATGCCACCAGAGTGTTGCAGATGAGCAACAGCCATGGCCCCCAGAACCAGCTAGGTAATGAACCAGCGAGATGCTGAAAAGGGAAACCCAACAGAAACGCCAAGTGAGTATCGGAAAGCAGGGCCACGCTGGGCAGCGGGCAGGCGAGCAGAGGCAGACGGGGGCAGACGGGGTGGTGGGCAGGTGGTGGTGGTCACTCCTCGCGTAGCTGCAGGCGGTAGCGGTGGTAGCGAACCTGGAAGAAGAGGCGCTCAGCCAGCGAGAGGGTCATGCCAGGCAGCACGTAGTGGTCACTTGCACCCATGTGTCTGAAGCCCAGTGACTCGTAGAGCTTGTGGGCGGCCACCTTGACGGCCGTGGTGCCCAGTACCACTGCGGAGTAGTTGTGTAACATGGCAAACTCCAGCACCTTCCGGCCCAGTGCCTTGGCAATGCCCTTGCCACGGAAGTGTGAGTCCACAGACATGCGGAGCAGCTCCACCGTGTTGTCCTCCTCGTGGGCCCGTGCGGCCACGATACCCACCACATTGCCATCCAGCACGGCCACCCAGAAGCAGGAACCTGTGGAGAAGAGGATAGTCAGCACTTCCTGCATGGAAAGCTGGGGAGATCACACCCACTCCAACTGGATGCCAAGGGGAGACATCACAATGATGCCCAGTCCACCGGTGCCCTGACCCATCTTCCAGCTCTTCTGGATACCACAGGAGGCTGCGATTCAGGACAAGCAGGTGAGTTGCCTCTTCCAGACTCCCTGAGCAACAAGAGCACTCCAACAGCTTCAACCCAGTCCGACCTTCCCAACTCTCCACAACAAGATCTGTGCCACAGCCCGAAATACTCAGCTCCTGCCTGAAGCTGTACTGTCCTGGTGAGGGCAGTCGTTGGAGGCAACTAGGAGCTGGGCAGGCCTTGGGCAAAGCAGGGCCCGGCCCCAAGACCACCTTTCAGACCACAGACATCCACGTTCAAGGCCTCAGGAGCAGCTGACCTGCTCTGGATCCCAGACCCTGGCCTGCTCACCCTCCTAGGGTCTTTGTTTCACACCCACTGACCCAGCCTCCACTGGCAATAAGCCTGGTGGTCAGACTAGCAGTCCCCACCCATAGCATAGCCAATCCTACTTCACAGAGTACAAGAAGGGGAAAGGGAGTGAATGAAGAGGCTGGGCAGTAGTGGAGGGAAGCACTGCAGGCCACAGGCCACTGGGAATCTGGCCACCTCTGGAGGCCAAAGGTCAAGGGAATACCTAGTGGCCCTTCTGAAAAGAGCTAAAGGAGGCAGGTGGTGGCCTGTGCTGGGGGCACTCTCCCCACCCTAAGAGAAGCCTACAGGACAGTCCCCTCTTCCCAATCTGGCCTTACAACCCACCCACGTAAGCCAGACCAGAGGTCAGGGACAGTCTCCAGCTCCTCTGGCCTCACTCTCCCAGGTCTTGGCCTGTCCATTTGCATGAGATGCTCCCATTAATCTGCACAGCCCTTTGAACTGCTGTCTAGCCTCCCCCCTGTGGGGTCCTAGAAACCCAGCAGATGTCCCAGGAAGGGTAAGCAAAGACAGCCTCTGTGGAGACTACAGCTCAGAGAGAGCAGAGCCACAACAGGGACCTCCAGCCACACAGTGCATCAGCCCAAGCCCCTTCTGTCACTTGCCTCCTTCTCTTCCTGAGCAGAGCCAGGCAGGGTTAGCGCCTCCAGAAGCCAGTAGGCTGTATTTGGATGTGGGGAAGGGTCAAAGAGAACGGCCAGCACCAAAGCCAGCTGGGTAGGAGGTTGGGGCCGAGAACGGGGCAGCTGGGAGAAGCTGGCAACAACTATATCTGGCACAGCCTGATTGGCTGCCCTTCCTCAGAACAGACCTAGTCCTGCTGTCCAGCCCCTGTCCTTAGCTCCTCACATCCCAAGGGCCACGATTCCTCTTTCCTCTGGATCCCATGACATGACCCACCCTGCTTCAGGGCTTGCCTGGAGGACAGAGAACAGTTCCCAGCTTGTGTAGACTGGGGTCCCAGCCCCTCCCTCTACAGGAACCCTTGGGGGCTGAAGCAAGACCTCATGGTTCACTAAGTGGCCCAGAAACCAGGCCAGAAGTAAGAGCAAAGATAAAGTCACAACTGCTTTCCCGTCTTCTGTTCCCTGAGGCATCCTTACCCATGCCACACAGGCTGTCTCCATCCAGAACAGTCTGGGCTGGCTCAGGAGCCAGCAAGATAGGGCAGCCCCACCCCCACCCCCACACGTACACCCAGCAGGTACCAGGGAAAGGTGTCCAACGGGGAACAGCAGAGTCAGGCCACCCAGGAAAGGACCTGGATCTGTCTCTCCCCAGCCTACTGACGCTCCACCCCTAGCTAGAGGTCTCATTCAGAAGGCTCAGGGCATCCGGATTCCCCAGCCTAGGCCCACCTGTGCCTGGAGGAAAGGTGAAGGAAGGGAGAGGCAGAGCTGGAGAGTTCCAGAACTCACCAGGTGGCTTCATGTAGTACTGCTCTATGTCAGCCATGTCCGTGTGTAGTGCACATTCCAGGTAGGCCAGGATCACCTTGCGGCTGTAGTAGTAGCGCAGGGCCAGCAGTCCAGCCGGCAGGAGACATGTCAGCAGCAGTGAGCGGGTCACAGCAAAACAGAGTGCTGCGGGCAAGGGGGCACAGGTGAGGTGGCAGGTGCAGGGCAGGGCACCCGGCCAGGCCAGGCACAGGTGGATCCCAAAGTACCCAGAGTCCAAGCCGCCTTGGTAAATCACGGCTTTGGGATGCGCCTCACTGGGACTGTTTCTCGGTGCAGCAGTCCTGACCGGGGTCCCTGTCTACACTCCTGTTTCCAAACTCTCTGGCATTAACACCTGCTACCTTCACAACCGGAAACCAAGGTCCACAACAGAGCTTGGGAAAAGCCAGTGTCCATCAGCCCTTGGTGCCCCCAGCTGCCAACACCCTTGCCCATTCCATCTCAGTGGTGCAAAGCCAAGCTGCTGGACAGAGACACCAGGGCGCTGCCTAGCCAAGCCTACAGGCCGTCCCAAGCTGCGAGTGTGAAGGCGCCCGGTCAGAGCCCTGCCCCAGAAGCCTCTGGGCCCTTGAAGACAGGGCAGAGACGAGCACCAGCCGCATTTAGGCTGCAGAGGATGCAGAGGCAGAGGAGTGAAAGTTGCCTCCCTTGAGTAACCTTGGAGAGCCGCCTCAACCTCCACATCTGCAGAATGGGAGGACAACCCTGCCGTGGCGCGGTGGGTGTCCTCCTCCCGGTGGCCCTGAGAACAGCCTCCTGGGCGCCCCGCGGAGCTGGCTGTCTTCCCTACATAAATTAGCACTTGAGCCGCAAGGCGGCCTCCCCCGCCCGCCGATTATATATAGTTACCGCGCCGGGCCGCAGCTGAGGCGCTACCTGCCCTGTCACGCCGCCCCCACCCGGGATGCCCCGCGACGGGGAGGACGGACATCGGGGTCCGAGCTGCCATCCCGGACCTTCTGGATCCGCAGCCGCTGCCCTCGACCCGCGCTCACTCCCACTCCTGAACCTGGCGCCTTCGCCGGGAGCCCGGAGCGCTGAGCCGCGGGGCTACTGGTCCGCGCACGGGCTCCGAGATGGGGAACCGGGCGGATGGCGGAGGGAGGAGCCCCGCGCGCCGGTCCCCGGAGGGTCCGCCGGCCTCGCCAAGCCGGCTCCGCGTCGGACTCCAGGGGGCGAGCGCCCGTCCCCCGCCCCCGCGGCGCACTGACCCGCCAGCAGGGCGTAGAGCAGCTGGGTGCGCGGGTGCTGCCGCAGGCCGCGGAAGGCCGTGTTGGGGATGCGCTCCAGGATGCCGTCGTAGAAGATGCGGCGCGCCGCCTCCTGCTCGGTTGCACGGAACTCGCGGATGCACACGCCGCGCCCCGGCGGGCCCGCGCCCCCGGTGCCTCCGTGGGGCTCGGGACCCAGTGCGGGCGGGGGCGCGGCAGCCGGCCCGGGCGCGG